CTTCAGCTTGTTCCAAAGTAACAATGACCACGGTTCACGTGTAATAATGGGTAATGAGCCGACCGATACACGAAAGACAGATATTAGCACAACATGTTTTGTATAAGCCTACACGTTAATTGTTTAATGCCAGCGGGAAAGTGTATCTTGAGTACAGAATGCTACACTCTAAAAATTAATTCGTCATTGAGGCCTCTTTGTTTGTCAAAATGAATAACTTTGTTTGGTAATAAATTGCTGAATGACTAATTATCTGTTATGGAAGACTAATTTGCCGTCAGTGATGACTAAAATAAGTTGTCATTTTGACTAATGTACATTAGTTACGTGTAGAAAGTCATTGACTAACCCAAATTAGCCATCAGTGCTGGTTTTGACAAATGACGCGCAGTCAATGTCTCTGAAGAAAGATCGAATACTTGTCTAAATTAGTATATATATTCCTTCTGACTAATGAAGTTTGTTATTTTCCCGCCGTTGATGTGTTTTAAAAAAAGCGGGACTCGATCGATGATGCTATGTTAGCATGGGCGTCGCCAGGATTTTTTCTAGAGGGGGGCAAATAATATTTTTCCCAAAAAATTCTTTTTATTTCTCTCGATTTATCAGTTTTAGAGAGGGCAGGGACATTCCCCCCCCCCCCCTCATGAAATTTACACCACTATGACTTCGCGCCTCTTTTTCTTTTCTTTTTTTCTCTTTTTTTTCCCCTTCTTTTTTTGTTTTTGTTTTTGTTTTGCTTTTCGGGGGGGGGGGGAGCGCCCCCCTCGCCCCCCCCCCCCTCGCGACGCCCATGTACATGTATGTGTGAAGACACCTATATCTTCGCCCTTCGCAACCACATGACTGAAGGGACTACTTCACGATTAGGTCAATCGTCTGCGCAAATAAAATTTCTTGTATATCGAGGATATAAATTAAATTTAATTGAGTTGCTCTGTTACCCGGCATATTTGCTTACTGACTCTCTAAATGGCTCAAAGATGACTTCTTTTTTGGGGGGGTAAACGGTTCATTAATTGGATTTTAACTTTAATCCTAGGCTAGCTGTTTTTAAACCGTGTAATTGCTTAATTGAGAGGTGCGTTATGATCCCTACTTGAACATTTTTTATAAGTAATCATGATAACAGAAACAATGTCATTTCAAGGCTGAATTGTCTTTCAGTGGGCAAGACTTTTTCTCATCGTCGTAAACTTTCAATTTTATTTCTTTCATTTGTTTTTCATGCATTTGTATCGGTTTTCAATAATAATAACGACACTTAAAATCCACTAAAATATTTAAAACCCAACCTGTTGAAGTTTCAGCTCTCAATGCGCACTACACTTTTCGAGAAAATAGTGGAAACTCTGCACATGACCTTTTGACGACGAAATACGAATTCGTCAATAGCACTCTTTCATTTGACTGATCGTTCAAAATCATCTGTATTATTTCTTGATTTCATTTAAATGACAAGCTACACGGAATGCTTCAAGTATAATGTTAGGCGTACGTGTATACGGATATGTTACACTCAGTTTGTCAGGCAGCCATTAAACGGACATCTTCCTTCCTCCATTTCAACCATGACGAAGGTAGGAAAACTATTTCGTATGAAGTTGTTAATTGACATGAGTTATGAAATGAGAGTACGGTTGTGAGGGAAGTAGGTTGAATCAGTAAGAATAAGCTGTAGCCTATAGATACCGAGTGAGACTCTTACAAAAATTTATGTTTGTACTTAGGCACATCTTTATGCTGCAAAAACGTATGCGGTAGGCCTAATAGATACGTATCAGCCATGTCGTTGTGCAATTTCTTTGCAACACCCTAGTGAGTTTGTTGTGCCAAACAATACATGTGCCAATTCCTAAACTAAATATACTAAAGATAGGAGGGGAACTTTACATGATTAAGAACATTCCATGATTTTGTTGATTTTGAAATATGGACATTAAATTTTGAATAAAAAAAAAAAACGAGGAGAAAAAATAAAGAAAGATTTTTTCTGTGTGTTTCTTTTGCAGGTGTGATCATGATCATGCAGTGGTAGATGCATCCACAGCACCCCCGTTCCCGGGGGCTTGAAACTTGATTGTTCATTATTCAGAAATTAATCCATGCTTCCAGAAGAAGCATTAGGCTATGCCCATACGGGTGATTATGGAAAACAACATGGTCAGTAAAAACCATTGGCCAGAGGTTTTTTTTATGGAAGTCGGCCTAGTGGCCCAAGTGCCATTTTGTTACATATTTTCAGAAGCATGTCAAAGTAACAGAAAATAAGTGGGAGAACTGTTCCACAAAATTGAGCTTAAATACATTATTTTCTATTTGTTATTCAAAAACAGCTTCATCGTGTGTACTTAACGAAAAGAAGTTAAATCCACAAATGTGCGTCTGCAAGGTGAAATAATTATTGACGTTCTAAAAAAAACCGAACTGATGTGATAAAAAACTAATGACTAGTATGACTAATAAACACATACATCTCATATTGGGTATAAACTTCTCTAAGTCATAGATGCAATTTGTATAATTATATGTTTGAGCACTATTAGGCTGACATTACATTCCTTTTTAATCGGTTTTTTTTATGCGAAGACTACTGTTTTGTACTGCGGAAAAGAAATTGTATGAATGATCAATCAACCAGCCAAGAGAAAATGAACTGACTTGTATGGGTTGTAGTTTTTCGTCGACTGAATTGAGTGGCGATTATAGAAATGAGTACAAAAATTGTTTTGAGTACACCTATTTCTGAATATTCAAAACACTCTGTAAAAAGGATGACAAATCACCAAACTATTGGATATTTGTCCAGATTTTATTTTTACCTAAACCCTGTGAAGTGTTGCATATTTCCAGAGTGATTTAGTCATCGGATTTCTGTTGAAAAGTAAATTAGAGTTTACTTTGATCATAGCGCAATGCTTCGATTCACCTTCCCACCATAAGGGGAGAAATTGCGTTGACAATTTAAAGCATATTTTAATCGGCGCTCTTCATAAGGGGCGGATTTAAAATGTTGACAATTTAGGGCTTAATTCCTTGGATTCGCCCTCTCAACAAAGGGACGGATTTCTGTTGCCAATTTAGAGCACTCTTTGATTCACCCTGTGAATAATAAGGTGCGGATTTCTGTGGACGACTTAGAGGTTAAATTCATCGTCCCATTTAAGGTGGCGGATTTCTGATGACAATTAAACTTAGGAGTATACTTTGATTCGCCCTCCAAAAATTGGGGGCGGATTTTTAAAGTTAGGGGGCCTATATTGATTCGCCTTCCCAATAAGGGAGCAAATTTCTGTTGACTATATAAAGCTCATTTTGACTCCCCCCCCCCCCCAATTTAAAAGTTAAACATATTCCGAAACAAAGTCCTTTAAAGGACCGTCTTTAAAACAAGAAAAAAAGATTTTATAAATCGTATTGTTTGCCTAACAAGGGCTGTAAATAAAGACATTGTATGCCACAGTTGTTGGCAGTTGTTGGAACAAGTATTCTGAGTCAATTTCTTTGTTGTTCCAAACAGTCAGAATACACAATAAACTGTCTTTTTGTGTGTGTGACGAAACAGGTTTTGGGGTCATTGTGTTAAAATGTTGATATTCTCTGAACGGATTGAGCAAATTTCAGTATTTTTTCATAGTGTACATTGAAAACCTATAGTAACCAACTAAACAACCGATAATGACCTGATTGAACGCAGCTTAGGGAAGACAATGCACTTTCGGGGAAAAAAATGAAAACGAAAAAAGTGATATTCCTCAATGATTTGCACCCGGAACCTGCAGTATTCAGACCACCGATTCAACGCAGCATGCTCCAAGCCACACTGACCGCAGTGGACTATCAACTATAAGAACTTATTTCGAATAAGATGGCACCACGGGATATGCTTCACGCATGCGTATTATGATCAATGACTTTACTTTGATGCAAACAAATATGTCCGGGCGGTGGGGGCGAGCGAAAACACATACTTTTTAACTGTTCGGGGATTCTTTAAAAGAGATCGACGTCTCAGCTCATCTTCTTCAATCGAATTATGTAATGCCGTGCGGAAATTAACACGAATCCATGATCAAACTCGTCTCCATCCTGCTCATAGGTGTCGGCACTCCATTTAGCTTTTGTTCTCTCTTGAAGGCTATACGTATTCAGTTGCCGCATGCATTGTGTTGCATTATTGTGATTTCTGATTAAAAAGCTATTTATAACTACAAAATACCACCTGCCCCCGTCATTCGGTGATAATGAGACTTTCTGTAACACACGGCAGGTGATTTCGTTTAATTTTCCTTTCTAAATGAACTTCTGATTAAAGTGTTGAGCTACTGATATTTTTTTTTACCACGGTGAGCTAAGTAAGGGATTCGACTTTAGTTGAAACAGTTTATCAATTATTCCACAACAATGTGAAAGGATCCAAAGAGCGACAATGTCAACCAGCACAGTCAGCAAAATAAGAAGTACGGTAAATTGGGTTTGTTTATATGATGTGGGCAGACGTCCCTACGATAAGGTAAGCAAATCAGTTTTGAAATAAGGCCAGACTAAAACGCCAATAAAGTATTTGCTACTTCCAAAAGCTTGTCTTATCTTCGAAGCAATTTTTCCAAAAGAAGTGATACCCCGAGGTTGCGAGGTTTTAAATCAATCAGGACGTGTTATAAATTTGATTGAACCAATGACAGGTAGTAGCAGGGTCTAGCTGTTTTACATGAGATACTGAGTATTACCCATCAGAACACACGCTGTAAAGAAACGCGCTTTTGCAATAATAAAAAGTCACGCGCAAATACTTTTAGTAAACCAATCAGACGATTTCTTTTTCTCAAAACATTCCAGGCTCAATGAGTTCTGCAGCAAATCCAATCAGCAGACACGAAGAAAAACCCTGACGTGAAATAAGCAAATGTCAAGCGCAGAGACCTGATTCAGCCAAAGGCTTCTGCGTATTTAAAGCACGGAAAACATCCAATCAGAGCACGCGTAAGGGAAACACTCACCTGTGAAATCAGCAAAGGTCACGCACAGGGAGCTGATCCAGCCAATCAGGGACGTGCTCGTGCCGAAGACGTCCCGGAAGGTGGGCAGGAAGACGCCCAGGCACTTGGCGATGCCTTCCCGGAAGATCAGAGTGGAGTGGGCGGCAAGGAGGACGAACCAGCCCCACCCACCATCCGGGGCCGCTCCTGGTGACGTCATGACACCCCGCCTCCGTGACGTCAAAGATTTTCTGCACAAGGGCGCCCGCGGCGTCTCAAGTGAGGCATAATCTGTTGGAGAAAGACAGAAACGTATTTCAATTTTACAAAGATTAAACAATACTACAAGCCCAGGCGAGAGATACTAAGGTATGCACACCTATAAAAAAATAAAACACCCTGCTCTTTTTTAGTTGAGCTTTTAAGTAACTTTCAGGACTTGTCTTTCCCCTTAACTGTCTGGTCGCCATCATTGCCAAGGTAACTACATGTAGTGTTATAGGTTTTCCCGGCTATTTTAAAACGTTTTTCTTTCAAATTCACCATATCTAACATTCAATGTCGTCCGAGAAAATTGTCACACTCTTAAACAAAACCAATTTAGTCATTAACCAATACAAGTTTGGTCAACCTCTTTTAGTCACCGGGTCGAGAATATTCGTCCTTACAGATCAAATTCTTCTTATTCCAAAAAATCAGATTCGTCTTATTATATAAATCAATTAGACGCATTTGATTTCTGAATAGCAAGGTTTGGCGTAGACAATCGAAAACACCTCGGGACGAAAACGTGTGCTCATTGTTTGACTCTGCTTGAACTGATTTTGAAATTGTCTGACAAAAGACGAAATTAACATTGGGAGCACACTAAAGCGCTGCTGATGGACGAATTTGAATATTAAAAAAGGTGAATTCGAATAATAAATGTTTAAAATAGCCTGGTAAACTTATATTACTAATTGTTTCTTGTAATAAAATCAACGATTCCTCAAAAGCACCGCAATGTAGCTAGCAGCCCTGAAGAAACATAGATGAGACAATGAGAAGAAATAACGGTTTTAGAGGTGGGAGGAATCCCCCAGAAGACTATTCTTGGGGAAAACCCACGGAACTAGGCAGGGTCTGAAAACCTAATCCACATGTTGGCCCAGTTTCAGTTTAGGACAAGGTGTTCCCTCGGCTCCGGTTAGCATTGGAATGGCGCTAACGCGGGCTGCGCCCCGTATTCCGAATCTCTATTGTGGTAACGGCGAAAGTGATTGGTCAATGAAAATGAATATTCAAGACGATGCTTTGAATCAGAATAAAGGTTTGCGGGGTGAATAAAGAATAAGGGGGAATACTTTTTACGCCTGTGACATACGCATCAACATTAGTGCGGAATTATGTCCATAAAGTTAGCGGTCTTTCTTTGCTTTCTAGCGTATAAGCACAGCCACGAAATTGGCCGTTTGATTCTGGTTCGTGAAGAACGTTGGCGTCGCGATCAAAAACAGATTTATCGTAGTCGAAACCAGTAACAATACAAAAACGCTATAATTCTGAAAAATTCTGAAATGTCTCATTTTGCTCCTGTAATATATTTTCCCCTGTAATGTCTGAGAATGGCTAAAATTCGACAACAAAACTTGTTTCGAGTTTAGACATTTAGGCTATTGCTCCAAAACAGTTTCCATACATATTTGCAAACCTTTCGCAGCACTAGTAAACTCAGGTATCATATTTCTCCCTGCTATTGGTATTTGGTTAAATGATATGGTGAGTATTTCCTAACAAAATTGGACATGTTTCTCAGTCCCATATACATGTCTTATCATCATCTTTGCAATTAATGACCTTCATCGAGATGATATATGAAGAACAAAGTGGCGTCAGGTTGCAACAATTTTTTTTCCCCAAAGATGTTTTAGAGTGGGGAAGAATCCCGGGTGTGGCATTTACACTAAAAAAATTACCTAGGTTAATTTAACCCAAGAAAGGGTGAAACCTGCAACTACCCCAAACTGGGTTGTTCTTTACCCAATTGTTTGGGTTGTAATTTCTGATAAATTCAACCAAAACTTGTGGTCATACATGACCAAATTTAATTTGGTCTTGTATGACTACAACTTTTGGTTGAATTTAACAGAAATTATAAGGCCAATTATAACCCAAACAATTGGTTATAGAACAACCCAAGTTTGGGTAGTTGCAGTTTTCACCCTTTCTTGGGTTAAATTAACCCAGGCAATTCTTCAGTGTATAACCGTATCGCACGCCCGGAGAAATGGCATCCGCTATGACTTTGACGAGTCGTTGGCTGTTTAACTTGCATCTTGAATGATTTCAGACATGACATGGTACAGACTGATAAGATGCCTGGGACAGACTATTAGCAACAGCTTAAATTAACACAAACTATAGAAACAGTTTAGTGCCGTGTTATAGTTAGGTACATCACAAGCTCATGCAAGTATACCTCCCAAGTCCAGAAACAAGCCATCCAGTCCCAACACAAGTCACAATTCAAAGGAACTGTGACTAAGGCGTTCCTAACCGTCCACTCTTACGTGTGACCGGACTTGTGATGGACTTGACTACATGTACAACACTGCTAAAGTGACACAACGCCAACAACAAAAAAAGAAATCGACAACCGTCAATTTGACGATATATTGACAACATGAAAAGTGGTAGTCCAAAATACCTGTTTCAAAGAGTGACCGTCAGTGATTTAGCGCTCTTGTCAGAGGTCCGTTGTGAAACAGCGTATGTGTATCTCGAGTCCTCGAGATTGACAAGTGACGATCAATCCCAGGAGTGGGAGGTAGAAATGAAATATCGACGCCGAGTATTCGCTGCGCATGTATGATGCGCATTTATCCGTACTCTGTGGTTTTACCCCACCGCTGGCTGGACGCGGTGTTTTTATTTGGAGCACATTTCGTCAATGGATCATGAATTTTCAGCTAGTTCGACGTATATTCATAAGAAAGTGACAACGACGTCACACCATTGCTATAACTCTGTCATGCATGAACATTACAGCATTTCAAAGAACAGCTTTCGTCGAGCTGCCACAGTGGCCTAGTGGATAGTGAAATGAACTATGAATCAGCAGCGTATCCAGCTTTTAATGTCGGGGGGGGGGGGGGGGGGGCAACCGCACATCCGCCTAGACATGTTTTTCTTCGGACACTTGCCCTCCGTAAAATCTAAAAGCGGGGGGGGGGGGGGGGGGGGGGGGGGGGGCTGGTACCCATCTTTCAAATGGGGGCGCTCTTCAAAACTGACCATTGTTATGTATACTATATTATTATATGGACATTTTCACGGCGCACACTTTCAATCATCGCTGTAAAAACAAAAAAGTCAAAAAAATTCGCCAATTCCCCCCCCCCCCAATGGATACGCCACTGCTATGAATCACAAGATCTGTGGTTCGACCCATGTCCGTTTTCATCATGTACATGTAATTTCTGTTGGTTGGGTTAATTAGTTTGATTGAAGGGAAAACACTACGAGAATTTAAGTGTCATCCATCCACACAGCGTCAAAAATACATTGATTAATGTTAGGGTGCGTGATGTGATTGGTTAAAATACGATGTGTGCTGCACAAAAAAATACGCATCCCGCCGATGGACTTGTAGCTACATAGACGACCGTTTCATGCTCCGAGAAATACAGCGATCACTCATTTACACATTTATCCTCAACTGCCTCCCTTAAGGAAAATTTGGTTTTTTTTTATGATTCTGCAACTAACATACGCGATGCTTCTCCTCAAATGAATCGGGGATAGCCGGGGTAATACAAATGGCAGCTTTTTTTCCGAAGATGAAACAACCGTTGACATGAACTTCTAGCGCATATTTAATTAGCTCAGCACCACAGGACAGGTGGATGAAGACTGGATGCTGTTCGTCCAATTTCGATACCCGTCCGCTTCATTTACGCGGGATAATGAAGGGAACTTGTACTTGCCCCGGCAATGACGTCAGCATGGATTATTGAAAGCCACACCACGTGCGATTTCCAAACCGTTTTTAATTTTAAGAAAAGGTGGTTACCTGTTTATTAATTTAATTGGAAGGAATACCTTTTTATGTCTGTTATGTTTTGGACAAAACGGCAGGAAACCGATTCTGCATCAGCTTATTGTAAGTGTTAAATTGAACACGGATATATTGACAGGCGCGGGGCTCGAGGATTCTAAGAACACCCATTTAAAGGAATTCTATAAAGTTACTCTTGTAGACTTCGTATAAAATTCTCTCTTTTTTGGCTGGTTTCGATTCCCCCCCCCCCCCCAGCAGATTTTCTGCTAAACTGGTCTCCCTGATCAACATGCAGAATTCAAGTCGGAAAGCAAAGTTTGGACATCAAGCCTAGCTAATATTGAAACTCGCATCTGGTGGCGTATTTTCATTTGACAATAATGCAAGCAGGAATCTATAATATCCAAATATTATACCGGTAGTGGACATGTCTGTTTAGCTTCTGACGTCTGGGACATAGACTATTGTGTAGAGGCTCGGCATGAGGAGGTCGCTGTTCTACACCCGAGACGGAGGTCGCTAATTATACCTTCGCTGGTTCGCATGCAGTATTTGTTGCTTTACATGTTGAAATCAACGCATTCCACAAACTCGTTCCCAGGGCGTTGGTATTATACATTACCACAAGCTGCTCTCTTGGCCTAGCATTGCATATTTGCTATCCAAAAATTGTAAGGTACGAAACAGTCTGGTGCCTTGCAAATCTGAGAGACAATTGTTATTTTTCGAAAAGTTTGGGAGGCCAGGGGCAATCTCTTCGCAAAAGGTTCGCTAACGGCGATGAAGAACTCCGTCACGAATCACGCCAAAATAGGGTCTTTCTGCACCGTACCAACGCGTTAGAAAGATACAGTGATGATAAATAGCGACAACTAAGGTATGCAAAGTTGATTGACCTCTCCAAGGGTATCAGACGTCAGATATAATGTCCCCACGTCTTAAAAATTCTATTAATGGCACAAAGTGTTAACTTTTAGACTCGGGTCATGAGAAAGTGGCATTTACAAGCTCATTAATATGATAGGGTTTACAAAGGTTATGACCTCTCCGATTTGGTTACTAGAGGCTACATCTGTAATGTTCTATATATAGAACATTTTCTTCATAGCATTTTACACTTGGATCGTGAAAATGTTGGGGTTTAAATAGCAAATCTCACAAATAGCTACAAATAAGGTTTACAAAGGTTATCGACCTCTTAAAGGTCACCAGAGATCAGATATGAATTGCTCCCACATCTATTTATTATCTTCATTGTATGAAAACCTATGACGTAGAAAAGTGAAGTTTCGAAGAATAATTGTTATAAATATAGTATGTAAAGGTCGTTGACCCCTCAAAGGTCACCAGAGATCAAATATGAAATGCCTCCATATCTGGAAAAAAATCAAGGCATGAAGAACCGACATGCGAAGTTTCATGCTTTTATCGCACAAAATGGGTCGAATAAATAGGCAAATTAACATTGGCCGACCATTGGGCATCCATTCTGCAACCACGGCAATGCTTGTTCCTGTTTTCTGCCTCATTGGAGCCACCTTTGAGCAACCGACCTCCTCGGCGACCTTTGTGCGACTGTTTTGAGCATGTTTAAAAATATACGGCGACCATATGCGATGTCTGAACATCCTGTGTACCACCTTTGAACGACCTAGGGCAACCATTCGGCCTCCGTTGAGCCTCCAACGGCGACCTGGCCAGTTTTATGGTCGCACAAGGAAGGCCCAAAGGTCGCAGCCCTGTGTAAAGGGGGTCTTACAGGGTAAAGAAGTTTGAGAAGTCCTCATTAACAATTTTGTGTGTAATTTCTAAACAAGCTGCATTGGAAATTTCTCGGAAGCTGGGGCCAACGAATTCGTGTTCACGAATGAGTCACGTACGTGTTTGTGCCATGTAATTTCTGGAACGGGAAGGGGTGGTGTTTTAGTGAGTAAAAGCAAAATAAGGTTTTTGACCCCAGTGACCCCATGATAAACTTTAACCCCAGTTTGGTCATGTGGCATGTTGGGGCTGGGCTGTTGATACTTTTGACAAAAATTGGTTGAAATCGGTCAAAATAGGTAGGAGCAATAGGCAATGTTAACGTTTGTTACCAACTCACTAACTAACGTAGAGACTTGATGATTTGTTGGGCTGCTATCCCGCAGCTAAAAACAACTTTACGAGCACCAATAACGACCCATTTATTCAACTACCGGAAAAAAAAATTATATTTAATGCCAAGGACAGTACTTTCTAAGGCAAACTGCACTTTGACAATAAAGCACGTCTGCCGGAACGCTATTATTGAAGTATTAAGCAAACGAAAAGGAATGGGATCGACGTTGGCGGCGCACTTCCCCTATCCTTGAATACCTTTGCATGTAAGATTATATTATGGGTTGTATCAATCATGGTTGATGTCCAGCACCCGATTTCACGAAGCGCTGCGACGCGTCGCAACTCGAGTAAACACGTCGCAACTCGCGACGCGTCGTATCTTCCATTTCACGAAGGTTGCGATGTGTTGAACGCGTCGTAAGTTCTTTGACAACGGCTTAAAACACGTCGCAAGTTAAGACGTGTCTAGTGGTCGTCGCAAAATAAGAGTCATTTCTAAGCCAGTTTTATGCCATAAACATTACATCAACCAGAATTTAATACCGAGACAATGTGTGTAAAGTTGTAAATAGAAAGTTTATTGAATAATTGTGAATGAGACCGGAATATTAGAATTGAAATTTTAAAGTAGCTATACAGTCCTATGGCAGCTTGTTTTCCTTCAAAATTGCATCGCATGGCCGCCATTTTGTTTTACGTTTTAACAAATTTCGAGCTGAGATCCGACGACTCTTTGTTGAATATCAGACGACTATTCACTGTACGCTGACTAAATACATAACACATTCACCGAGTTGTGCTATAAATACACCTACGACGCGTCGCACTTACGCCGAGCATCTTAAGTTATACGAAGAGTTTGATGAAATCGGGTGCAGGGTTTATTTAATTAATAATACTGGAAGAAATAAAGACATAGTTCCAACCAGCAACAAGAAATATTGGTATTTTTTGTTTCAAACCCAGAGCTGTGCAAACCAATTAAATGAAAGCCGTATGGCTTGTCTGCCTGATAAATGAAGGTTTTGAATGGTGTAAACGAAACCCCTGAAAGTTCAACTTATTTTCTGATAGAGACTTCAGAACAAATGGTCATAAAATTAACATTATCCAGTTTTCGTAAAAAAAAAATAAAAATTCTCAAAACAAAATAATCAACTCATGGCAACTCTAAACGAATATAAATGTATACAGGGTGGTGCAAAAAGAAGGAACCCACTTTTGTCAGGAATGTTAACCTATTTGATTAACTTATTTGAACTGTTTTTTTTTATAATGTAGTGAAGTACATGTATAGGCCTAGCTTTTCAACCATACATGGTGAAAAAAAATATTTTTTTAAAAATCGCAAGAATAGTGTCATTATGCTAAGTTGAATACAAAGTCACCAAAATCATTGTTGTCCACGCGTGCGTCTATGTAAATCGGATGTTTCGTAGTTTACGAATATTTAGAAAGTTGATCAATGTAAAAATGCACCTCATATTTTTAATTACAGGAAACATTCCCTTGGAACATGGAAAGGTAGAAAGTTATCATAATTTACTTTTAACTTATGCTTTTACGATACTAAAGAAACGCATGGAAAAAAAAAGTAACAATCATTATTTCAGGTGTAGTCGTTTTTTTGGTCTTCAAATCAAGCTCCGAAGTTCAGTCAAGCGGATGGAATAAAGCCGTCTGTGGACAAACAGGTTTGGCACATGAAATTGTTAAACTATCATTTAACTGAATTTTTGATATGCTCAACAAGTAGGTCAAAATTGCTGTCAAAGGTGGGCTTCCTTCTTTTTGCATCAGCCTGTAGAGGTTAAAGAGGATATTCTTTTTAATTGTGCGAGTAAAATCTCTCAAAACCGTCCAAATACAAACTTTAATATTTAAAACAAATTTGGGGAAAAATAGTCACTTGTTGTTTTTCGATA